CATCAATTTTTATTACACCACTTACGCGTTAAAATAAAGAAAATAAATTGAAGTGATGGCGATAAAATATAAGAATTATTGCCGACAAGTGGAAAGATTGTTATGATTTAAAAAGGTTTTATAGCTAAAGCTTTCTTTGAATTTTAATAAGAGATTTTTAACTTCAGCATTTAAAGCGGTATACAAACAAAATAATTATCAAATGGCTGTGACAACGATATTGCTATATTGTCAAAATGTGTAAGTAAAAAATAGGGTACTAGCACAGAGTAATAAACAATTGTAATAATAAGCAATAATAAATAATAATAAATTGTTGTTTATTCTGCGGTGCTAGTGTCGTAAGACGGAACGATGTCTACGGAGATGAAATTGATATCAATGACCCTGAACGTCCAGAATTTCCTCTAAGTTCTCATCGCTGGATGTAAAATGATCGCTTATCTATAAATAACATTCATTTTTTAATACTTATAAATATATGTACTGTTTTTAGTTCCATATTTATAATGCAATAAAATATTAAATGACTTTTTTTATATTTTTTAATTTATATCGCTAAAAAGATTTAGAAAATTTTAGTTATATTTATTTAAAGATGTCGAAACGTAAAGATTATATTGCCGCTTCTCAACAAAAATAAATAATAGGTTAGTTAGTATTAACGATTGACCAAAAAAAAAACAAACACAAAACCTGTCAATTTACAGTTTCTATAGCGCTTGCGCTAACTAAAAATCCGCACTCTAATCCATCTTCTAAAGTCCCGGATTTTTAACACCGCGAACGCCTGAAAACAGAACTGCGCATGCGAAACAGTCAGAAACCAGTCAGGGACTGTCTCCGCGAACAAAACTATTATTTTCAATCGCGAATAACTTGAAAAATATCATTTTATAAAAAAATGTATAGCACATTTTGTGTTTAGAATCACTTTTTTAATCGAAACCTGTAGTTAAAACGTAAAAAAAATTTTCACCCCGGAGATGGGGTGGCAACCACCCCCTAGGCTTTGGCGCACTTTGGTTCGATATAGATTTTGATCCTTAGGCTATTACCTACCTTCTGTTAAATTTCAAGTCAATCCACGGAGCACGAAAAAATTGCGAGGTGAAATGCTTCATTTCCTGGACTATAACTGGTTTGACAGCATAAATCGTAGATTTATGTGTAGCTTTCAATTTTTATGAGTTCAGAATCCAGCAGCCCGCTGAAGTATTGGATTTTTATAATATAATTATTTAACAATCTTTTGTTGGCCAACCACCTACAGCAGAATTGAGCCGAAATACATTATATTCCTATGTTCCGAATTTACTTCGTTCAATCTGTATATGACTTGCCTCCATGGTTCGCTTTTATATTGTCTAAATATCAATCAGACTGATGTTGAATTACTACTGAGCACGAAGAAGAATCCGATTTTATTGATTAATCATCAATAATATTATCATAAATGTCTTCTACATGAGAAACTTTCTAATCTAATCTCGGCGGCAAATAAACCATATTAAGTGAGTCAGCATTTTCACAATTTGGGTTTTCTTCCAAAAAAGCTATTATCTTAGTAGTTAGTACCATCTGCATTTCACATTTCGAGAATTTATTGAAATAAACAAATGCACTACTATATACACGCATTTAAATGATAATAGTTTAGCTTACTTCATTTTAATTTATATGAACTTCATAATATATTTTTATCTTTATATGAACAAATAAACACAAGAAAACTTTCAAATTAAGTAAAAAAAAAACAAATATAACTTTTACAGCAGACAGCAATTTTATAAATAGAGAATGAAGTGCAACGACGAGATCGTATGTTAAAATTTCAGATTGTTTCGTCTAATGAAAAAAAAATTATTATTTTGCAAAGATTTCTGTTTTTGAAGTACTGTATTAGGTACTCTATAATAACAATAAAATTTTACTTTATTTTGTTAGACAACTATAAGATAATTAAATTTTTTTTTTTGGTACGCCTCTGCAAAATTGATAAGTGGAATATGATTTCTTTGAAAAGTTATCATTAATGGTTTCGTTAAGTCCGATGTTGCCAAGTAATCACCTTTAATTAAAAATTGTTTTAGTATAAAACTAAAGTCGGAGCGTGAGTGGAGACGGAGGGAAGTAGGTATGATGCCATAAAAAGTACCTACAGAAAAAGACGAGGAAACCACCCAGAGAAGTCCAGGATGCCGAGAGGGAAACAAATCAGAAGAAGATGGTGCAAAAGCGGGACATCAGGTCAGGAAGAAAGAAGGCTAACATTTTTAAGTTTGACATGTGAAAATATTATTAGGGCAATAAATGTTTTTATTTTTATTTTTATTTTTTATTTGTATTTTTATAGTGGAGATGGATATCAAACTAGTAGTTCTACTAAGTGGGACCGCAAGTCGAAACGTGAATGCCCAGCTAAAATGATTATACGATCAAAACAAAACAAAAATCGAAGAAGTCTGATTGTAAAAATAGACGAAGAGGGACGGGAGGAACGGGAGATAAAGTCCAAGAATAGCAAAAGGAAACAAAAGCATGGAACTTTGCGAGGCTAATGAAATCCAATTTCAATCTTAGGTAAAGATAATTCATAATGTCGTGGACCTGACGTAATCATTTAGTGACGTCGATCTACGAACGAAACAACGAAATCAGGCATTGCTAAAAACATGCAGTTCTCTTCAGTGTGTTATCGTAGCGAGATAGAGACGAACTAGTTTTTGCGTTAGTGAAATATGTAGTTTTATAATTTTAATTTTTTTGTGAACAATCGTTTTAAATATTTTATCATTTTTTGGATCAATGAATTTTTTAGATTCTGAATAAAAAAGGTTAATTGTAATTTTTATCTAAAGTTGATCGGTTTCTACTTAGAAAAAAAAAAACGAAAAATTATAATTGAAGGCTCAAAAACACACAATTATTTTTGAATTCACCAAACCTTGTTCTATCAGTTTCTGATACTTTAGTTTGGGCTTATTTAATTTAAAAACATTGTTTTTAGTTGTTTGAGTCCCTTATCACAACCTAAAAATGGATTTATACAAAACTCTTTAATAAATTAGGACCACTTTTTGTATGAGCGACCTCTTGAATATTATTTTGCGGTATTTTATGAAAGTTATTATTATGCAAAAAATCTCATGGAAATATTTTTCCCAAGGAATTTCAAGTTTTCGTCTCGTGTAGGTAAACATATTTACTAGCTAGCTACTGACCTACAAGAAATGCAAACCATGCTTTCAGAACTACATACCGAATCTTCTAAAATAGGACTGAAAATGAATTTAAACAAAACAAAAGTCATGCACTCCGAAGACACCGTGACAATAATAAACGATAAAGTTATAGAAAAAGTTGAAGAATATATATACTTAGGACAAAAAATAATACTAAATAGGGAAATTCAAACTGAAGAAATAAAAGAATATATATACTTAGGACAAAAAATAATACTAAATAGGGAAATTCAAACTGAAGAAATAAAAAGAAGAAGAAAGTTAGCTTGGGCAGCATTCGGTAAACTGAACTATATACTCAGAAATAAACAAATTTAATTAATCTTAGATCTAAAGTTTTTGATGCATACATTATTCCGATATTAACTTATGCGGCACAAACATGGACAATCACAAAAAAGAATATGAATATACTGAGAGTCACTCAACACGCGATGGAAAGAGCAATGCTAGGTATATCACTTAAGGACAAAAAACAAACACATGGATAAGACAGAAAACCAAAGTCACCGATGTGGTGCAAAAATCATTAAAGTTGAAATGGGAATACGCTGGACATGTAGCTAGGAGCGATCTAAACAAATGGCACAGATCAATTATAACCTGGAGACCATACCAACACAAAAGACCCAGACCTCCTATGAGATGGACAGATGATCTGAAAAGGACTGCCGGTAAAAATTGGCTACAAGTGGCGTACAATAAAAAATAATGGAAAGGAAGACTTGAAGAGGCTTATGTTCAGGTGTGGACGTGAATGGCTAGACGAAGAAGAAGAAAAACATATTTGGCTGAATTGAAAACCAAAATCCTATTATTTTTCTATCATACGTTGATTTGTTATTTATTTATTTGTCCTCTAGATTTTTTTTCAGTTCTTATAAAGTTTATTTATAAGCCAAATTAGTGCAATGTAAATATTTTACATTTTTACACAGCAATTCTTATCGACAGTGAAGACAGGAAGTCGTAAATTTGTATTACATCTTTTAATTTGAGACAAAATAAAAATGTGATGACTAACTAGAATGTTTAAGATTAGAGAAACATAATATGTCATGTTTATTGAAAATACTCGACACCATTAGCACATGCAAATCCTACCCTGTCGCCTAATTTCCTATGAAATTTAAATGGTAAATGTGTTTAGGGTCCATTTAATTTTTCGGGCATGCGTATTTACGAGGTCCAGGACGTTTTGAAACATCTTTAACACTTACGATTTTTCTCATTGAATTGGGGAAATTTTATGTGCATAGAAAAATAATATACCAGTACAGTACCATTCTCTCTCCTGCTACTGACAAAGAATGTAGTGCGTAGAATCTTTTTAAGTAATATTAAACTGTTTGTCCTTGTTTTAGTGTAGTGTTTTGTACAATTTTATGTCAACATTCATGTTTATCACATTCTACGCTTGCTGGATAACCCATATTTGACGAAATGCTCCTGAAGATGCTATTTTAAGTGAAAGTACTTGGGAAAGATTTGATTAAACTTGTGCTCGATAATTGCCTTAATTTTCAAAGTTCATTTATTCGAGCATTCAACCTCATATCAATTAAATAATATAATATTAGAAATTTATGAGTTTATTACAGAAAACCCAAGTTTTCTCAGAGACCATCAAATCAAACTGCCACTGCCAATCTTCTTTTTTAATAATCAAGGATCATAGACTATGATCATAGACAGCAAAACGTAAGTAAGTTTGTAACCTATAATTTCTAGTATTGACTTTGACGTTTTAATTTATTTGGAAACTTGTCAATTATGTCTGCAACTAAAAGGAAATGCTAAATAAGTTGCAACTATCAAATTTACGTTGTTATGTCCTATGTTCAACCAAATAATTAAAAACATTCAGACACAATTTGCAAGTGAGCACAGCCGGTTTAATATACATTGAGAAATTACAGTTATCCAATAAGTAAATATGTCTCTAACAATTCAACAAATCATTACTGATGCAAAACGACTTGCCAGTCGTTTAAAGGATAGAGATGAAGTAGCTGATTCACTATTAAACGAAACCCATGCAATTAATAAAAAAATTGATGCCATGAAACAGGTATGTAAGCTCAGTTTCTAGAGTAAAGTGGTCAATAAAGTTGTTATCATATCCCTTGTTATAAAGGCCAAATAAAAAATTCCTATCAAAATAATTGTACTTTTTAATACTTTTAAATAATAATACTTTTTGACATGAATGTTGTAAAAAACTTAGTTTTTGATAACAAAAGGAACTTTGTGTAATCCTTATTGTTTTGGAAGAGTATTAACACTATGTAATATTTGCTTGTTATATATTGATATCACCAACATAATCTAATATACCAAATTATTATTGATAAGGTGAAAAATTTGACTCAGGGATTATATATAACTTTTCAAAGGTTATATCCATAAATAGCTGATCCTTTGTTAATATTGCTGGCATGCTTTTCTTTCAAGTATACTTTCTGCAATATATTCTTGTACTTAAGATAACAATGGCTAATGTTTTAATTATTATATTGTATGTATTTAATATTTAAGAAATCTACTGATTCAGACATGTTAATGCTGTCTGGTAAAAACATTTTTGAGTGTATTTAAAATCCTTTCCTAAAAAATTGAGAATGGGACAGAGAGAGACTGAGAGAGAGAAGATAATGCAATCTTTAAGAAAATCAAAATGTATTCATAACATACAAAATAAAACATATTAAAAAAACAGAAATGTGCAAAGTTTTACTTGTGATATATTCTGCACTATTGTATAAAGTATCTTTGAATCTCGTTCTTGAGCATACATGACATTTTTTCTGAGAGTCATTTCATGTTCATTTACCCGCTCAATATTTACAGGTCTATGCCCAATATTCCCTTTGTTGGTTGTAATTGAAAGTGTCAGTGACAATGGTTTTTCCAAAAGTGCAATTCTGAATTGCTTGAGTGTGAGTTTCTTACCAGAATTTTTTTTTTAAAGATTATTATCATTGTATAAATAGAGCTGAATAAGTTTTTTATATTATCGTAATGTTCTTTGTTTCACTGGATAGTATGACATCAGCTGATATCTAGAGATTTATTCCACCCATAAATCTTTAACATTATATAATTTGAAAGGAACTGCTCTTTTTTCTCTCTATCTCTCCTATTTTTCACAGGTACTAGATGATTTTTAGTGTTAGAGACAAATATATCTTCTCTCTTATCTCGCGATCTGCCTGTCATATTATTATTGAGATATTTACTTTTTGTCTCTCCTGTGTTTGACTTTGCTTTTATGACATCCAGATGTACCTTTTTGATTTTTATGCAGTATTTTCACTTTTTAGTATTACTATAAGATTACTAGTAGATAAAAGCAAACAAGCTCAGGCAGGAGTAGGCCTCTTAATGCACAATAAATATAGTAAAAATATTCAAGAAATATGATACACCAACGAACACATGATGCTGGTTTGCCTTAAACTTTACCAGACGATACTTAATATTATCCCCATATATGCACAGGATAACAACAAAAACAAGGATGACAAAGATGCTTTTTATGGACAGCTCCAAGATCTACTGGCACCACAATAGCCGGTAGTAAAACAATAATTTTCGGTGACCTAAACGCCAGAGTAGGCAACATACCTGTGGCTGGAGTCACAAAGATTTAACGAAGAAATGCTCAACGACAACAGAGAAAGACTTCTAGAACTTTGTTTAATGAATAACCTCCGAATTAACAACACATACTTTGACCATCCAATACAACATAAGATCATCTCCTGGTCAGATACAAGAGGATGTAACTCTATGATTGACTACATTATAACAAACAGACAAATACACCCCAAGAATATAATATATGTGAGCACTGTATCTTCCACCAATGTTGGATCCGACCATGGCCTGGTACTAGGAAAAATAAATATAGCAATTACCACACAAGGCAAGCGAAATACAAAAGTAGAAGAAAAGTTAAACATAGAAAGCTTAGAAGAGAAGGGACACGAAACTTGTATAGAAACAGACTAACAGAAAAGCTAAACAGCCATAATCTAGAGACTAAAGTGAATATAGAAGAAACCTGGAAAATTATTAAAAAATGTATCCCACAAGCAGCGGAAGAAGCTATAGGTAAAAGAAAAGTTAACAGAAATAAATGATAATACAAAACTCTATGGTACGATGAAAGGGTGAAAGCACTAGCAAATGAAAAGAAACAAGCTTTACTAACATACAAAGGAGTAAAGATACCAGAGGCACGAGAAGACTATGTGAGAATCATGAAAAGAGTAAACCAAGAAATAGATAACATCAAAAAAGAACAATGGGAGAATATTTACCAAAGATATGGAATACAACCTCTATGGATCCCAGACAAAGTTGTGGAAGATGATAAGGAGACAAAAAATAGAAATGAATGAATTTGTAAGCATAGATAACATTACAGAGGAACAATGGACTGAGCATTTTACGAAATTATATGGAGAATGAGAAGAACAGAACAAAGAAAGAACCATTAACGAAACTTACGATAGAGTACTAATATCAGAAGAAGAGCTACAAGAACAAATAAAAAATTAAAAAACAGAAAAGCACCTGGTCCTGATAAGATAAACAATGAACTGCTAAAATGTGGAAGAACAACACTATGTAAATGGCTCCTAAAATTATTCGTCGATACAATAAATACTGGAGTAGTACCAGCGGACTGGAAGGAAAGTCTCCTGCTACCGATACTTACAAACCGAGACTGAAGAAATCCTGAAAATTATAGAGGCATTAGTTTGATGAATAGTACATTAAAATTGTTAACGCTAGTCATAAAAGATAAAATCGAGGAAAAAGCGAACATGGCAGATGAACAACAAGGCTTCCGGAAGAACCGCAACACAATAGACGCAATTTTTATTATCAGACGAATAATAGAGAAGTCTATTGAATATGGAAAACCAGCATACATGTGCTTTGTAGATTTAAATGCTTTTGACAGGGTGAAGTGAAATGACATCTTAAATTTATACCAAGCTGAACAAATAGACCAATATCGAAATGAAAGTATTAAGATCAATAGCGGCATATCATTAAGAGACAGACAAAACGACAGAAGTATAGGCGTCAATGCAAAATTCAAAATATTAACAGGTGGATAAAAACAAGACAAAAAATTTGAACGAACATGTAAACCGAATGGGACCAGATAGATTAGCGAACATATGTAAAAACAACAAGCCGTATAGTAGAAGACCCGTTGGAAGGCCGCCAAAAAGGTGGGAAGATAATGTACAGTCAACAACGACTGAAACAGAATAAGAGGCATACAAAGAAGGTATTACTATGTTCTTTAATTTATTTGTGATTAGTGTTAGCTTGTGGCACAACAATATATTATTATTACTGAAACATGGCTTACACCTAGAATCTTAGATGCTGAATTGGGATTGAGTGACTTTAATGTGTATAGACATGACAGGGACCTTCAAACTAGTTCAAAGACTCGTGGTGGTGGTGTTCTTATTGCTGTACATAAGCGCCTTAATTCAATGTTGGTTAGGTCTATCGATTCCTCTGTGGAACATGTTTTTACACAGGTTATGTGTGGCACAAAAAAGTTAATCATTGGTGCAGTTTACTTTCGTCCACGGTCATCTGGGTCAGTATATGAGGAGCATTCCACCTGTATGTTAGACTTAGCGGAAAGATTCAGTGATTGTGAATTCTGTATTTGCGGTGACTACAACCTACCTGAATCATCCTGGGATAATCTTAGTAATGGTGTTACGGTTGAGTGTCCTCATCACTCTCCAGCAAATATTATTTGTACTTGCTACAATTTTCAAAATATGTCACAAATAAATGCTTTGCCTAACCTTAATAATAAATTTTTAGATCTAGTTTTCTGTACTCAGAGAGATGCAGTTGTGTCGATTTCAACTGATATTCTATTGAATACTTCGCAACATCATTCAGCTTATACTATAGTGTTACATGAAGCCAATTTAAATTTGTTTCTTAAATATGATGTCTTCTATCATGATTTTAAAAAATGTAATTACCAAGTTTTAAATGAATATTTACTTAGCCTCAATTCCTTGGAACAATGTATTAGATGAATCAGATATAAATTGCTGCTTAGAAAATTTTTACCATATTTTATATGATGCTATCAATATGTTTGTTCCTATCAAACGGTTTAAATCATTAAACTTTCCAGTTTGGTTTTCGCGAGAATTAATTGAGCTTGTCATACAGAAAAAAATAGCTCACAAGAATTTTAAAGCATCAGGCAACTCATATGATGAATTTTCGGTGTTAAGGGAAAGATGTAAAGCATTACAAGCAGTATGTTATAAGAACTATTTAGAGGATATTCAAACAAATCTTTCAAGTAATCCCCACTCTTTTTGGAGGTATTTTAGTACTACACGTGGGTCTAGTGCTTATCCTAATGTAATGTCTAATAAAGGTGGGGATGTAATAGCTCAGAATAGTGATGAAATAGTCAATTTATTTGCCAGCTATTTTTCAGGTACATATAATGATAGTGAGTGTAAATTACCTAATTTTAAATTTGACTATAATGTGGATTTCCAGAGTCTGAAGTTTAGTCTGACTGATGTTTTCGAGGGGATTAGCAGTTTAAAAACTACATATTCTTCAGGGCCTGATGGTATACCTGCAGCACTTATTAAGAACTGTATTTTTTCCCTTTGTAAACCTTTACAACAAATTTTCAATTTATCGTTGTCATCATCTGTATTTCCACAATATTGGAAAAATAGTTTTCTTACACCTATCTATAAATCTGGCAATCGCGAGTGTGTTAACAATTATAGAGGTATAACTATTCAATCAGCAATACCGAAACTTCTTGATAAATTGGTATCGATAAATCTCACCTGGGCTTGCAGAAACATAATTATTGACGAACATCATGGTTTTTCTAATGGGAAATCAACTGTAACAAATCTTCTCAATTACCAACAATACTTGTTGGGTGCATTTGAGAATAAAATTCAGGTTGACAGCGTTTACACTGATTTCTCAAAGGCCTTTGACCAGGTTAATCGTAATCTTTTGGTCCACAAA